GTACTAATGTTACTAATGCTTCTATCGCTGCTAACACTTCCATACAAGACACCAAACTTGCAGTTGTGGCCGGTATCCAAGCTGCACTTCAAACTGCAGGACCACAGGTACCATCTACTGGTATATTGGTTTCAGTTAATACATTTTGAATTAAAAATTTAAATGCCATCTTCAGCAGCATTATTAGCATTTGTTTTTGTTGCAGGATGATGACATCACAAAAAAAAGCCATGTGCCAACAGCAAAAGCTTTGTCACATTGTGAAATTCTTAATTGTAAACTTTATCTTTTTGCTGCAACATTTTGGACTTGAATTTTACATTTAGATTTAGATTTAACATTGACTTAACATTTAAATTTAACATTTGGTGAAAATTAGCAAAAACTGTGAAATAGATAATAATATGTTAGTGGAAAAATTTTTAACAAGGATTTTACATTCAAAGTGAGCTAAAGGATGAAGGGGTGTTAGTGACATTTTTAACATTTTATTTTACACTGCTTCCCGTAAACATGTTCCCTAAACTGTTAAATCCTCATGAAAGCTTTAGTGAGAAACTGCACCTTTCTTTGTGTGTGCTGCATAAAATCAGATTCTTATTTTATGTTGCATGTGTTGTGTCCTTCAGAGTACCTCCGCAGCATCTCCCTGCCAGTGCCTGTGGTGGTGGAGGATACCAGCAGCAGCAGTGAGTACGGCTCTGTCTCCCCGGACAACGACCTCAACACCAACCCCTTCATCTTCAAGCCCAGCATCAAGTGCTACAGTGAGAAGGATGTCAAGGGGCAGAGGTCCCTCTTTCTCAGGTAGACCACTTTGGATTGATGTTAAAACAATTTTCATGTGGTCAGTGCATGTAAAAAGCCTTAATCTATCTGATTAGAGTTAATTGAATTGTGTAGAGACTCTATTGGACACAACAAACCTTTAATTATTCCAAAAAATTTGTTTGTTTCCTCTCAGCATCCCAGTGGAGAATTTCGAGGACCACAGTGCCCCGCCATCTCCAGATGAGAAGGATGCAGGCTTCTTCATGCTACGTAAGGACAGTGAGAGGCGAGCCACCCTGCACCAAATCCTGACCGAGGACCGGGAGAAGGTGGTAGCCAACCTGATGGAGGCCCTCACACAGGTCAGTGATGGAAACAGAAAATGGTTAGATGTAGTCGGCGCTTTTACCACATCTCTGTGTCATTGTGTTTGATGTCCAGGGCTCTGAGGAGATTAAATTGAAACCTCAGCACATCTCCACCCTCGTTGTGAGTCTGGCTGACTTTGTCCGCATGGCTGACAGGAAGATCATTGCCAACACCTTGTCTCAACTCAAGCTGGAGCTGGACTTCGACAGCACCGCTATCAGTCAGCTGCAGGTGGTGCTGTTCAGCTTCCAGGATGCTGTAAGTGTCAACAGAAAAGAAATAAATTGCTTTGAGTATTTGTATGAGAAACTGGATCACTAGATGCTTTGACTGTAGTGATCCTGTTTCTCTTTATCTCTTTTGTCTTTTTTTCACACCATTTTTGCTGTGTAACACTTTTGGCATACTTTGTACTATTTCAAACATTCAAATGTCAAAATGTTCAGCTCAGACAGGAGGTTCTGGTTATGTTTTTTGTATTTTTTTATACTTCTTAAAATATTTAACTTTATTGTGTCAAATGTGTGAGTGATAAGACAGAAGGGTGAAACTTTTTCATCCACTCTGCTACACTTTTCAGTCATTAAAGATGAGGGCATCAGATCAGTTTCACTGATTTATTCACCCATTTAATAATCAGACTCATAATTACTGGAGTGAGAATTCATATAATTACAGGGAACTCTTTTAACCATAATTAATGGATATTCATTCAGTGACGAGGAAACTAAATTTGTCTTTTGAAATTTTATTACATGTAGAGAATAAAATTAATTGGATAATAATGAATGAATGGATGGATGTCACATCAGAAATGACAATGACTACTGATGATGACTGGCATGGATATGGGCAGCAAGACCAGCCGCTGATGCACAGGACCTTGAGCAGATGTTACGTTTATATGGCGCATCGGCTGCATCTGGGTATTTTCACCTGAGATGGGCTTGTTGGATACTATGTGCCCYTTTGGTCTCAAACAGCTCGACTCCCTTTACTACTTTACCTCTCCAGAGTGGGCGGTTTTGCGRTTGTAGCTGAAAGCTTTCAGCAGACATGCCACACTTCTTGAGGGATTCTTTTAAGGAATACTTGAACCACTTCTTGGGCCTTCCAACTCGGCGTTCACCGCAGGCGAGCTCACCATTGAAGAGCTGTTTGGGTGTCCTAAGATCACTCATACGCACAAGATGGCCTGACCATTAGTTGTTTTTTAATGATAGTACTCTCCACCGACTGGTATTTAAATCTCTGAAGAACTTCAAAGWWTGACACTTTTTCCTCTCAGGATATGTTAAACATCTTCCTAAAACACCATTGCTGGAAAGCCTCAAGTTATTGAATGTGTTGGCGACATGTTGTCCAGTAATAATTAAAAACACATAAACAATAATAAATAATTTGAATTTTTTTAGATTTGACTGTTTAGATGCAATTTGAGACAAAATAAAAATTAATCAAGGATTCTCACTCATGTTGAACAACATTTTTGCATATAGAAAAATTGAGATCCCACAACTTTTTTTAAAAAAAACATAACTCTTTAAAGTCTACTTTAGCATACTCAGTCTGTTTAATCTGGCCTTTAACTATTCTTAGCTTTTAGCTAGCCTTTTGCTACTTTCATCATATACCTTTCATTTTGCTCTTTTAAACTTATTGCAAAGGTTTTTCTACTTTTAGTCTTTCTTCTGGTGTTCTGTTTGTTTAAGCCTTAAAAAACTGACCAAAAAAAGACAATTTTAGCTTTATTAGCAAGTTCCTTTAAAGTTTCTTAGCACTCGGCTTTCACTTTGCATTAATTGAAGAAAATGCAGTTTAAGTACTTTACATAGCTTTTATGCTGACAGTCAAGCACTTGATTTACTATCTCTTATTGTTTAAATCTAAATTGCACAAATAAAATACCTTAGTCATGTGACTTCCTGTTGTTTAGCCAGCCTGGTTTTGTCGACAGAGGTGACTTGGGAACACTAACATTTTACATCAAGTGCAGACAGCAGCAGCCTGCCTCCTCTTCCTCTTCCTGCACAGATAGATAACTGTAAAAATACTCGTAAGCTACAATAAAACCAAGGATCTGCTGGGAGTGATGATCTGAAAATGGGCTTGTCTCTGAAATGCAAATGAAATGACATATTATTTCCTATGGGCTGTTGCATAACATGAAAGATGGGAAGTGGAGCTCTGATGCCTCCTGTTGGTCATCAGTGCATCAGATCAAGAATAGATGGGAATTTTTGATTTGTAGTGTGCAATAAATTATTGAAAATAAGCATATCCAATGTTTCCAGGTGAACAAGTTGCTGCGAAACCACAACATTAAGCCTCACTGGATGTTTGCTCTGGACAACATCATACGTAAAGCTGTGCAGACAGCCATCACCATCCTGGTACCAGGTAGCATCATCAGTATCTCAAATAGAGCACCTCAAAGCTTGTTTTATACTTGGACTCGCAGGTCTTGTTCTCCCTGCTGAATGACAAAAAAATCAGACGTCTATTTATCACAGAGTATATATGGTCTGAAGACTCGGCGGGCCATAAATGAACATAAATCCTCCCTCTGCCCTCACAAAGCTCATATAAGTAGGAAAACAACAAAAATGATGGCTGGATGTTGTGATTTTTTTTCACTCAACGATCAGTGTTGCGTCAGGTGAAAGGTTCACTGGGATAATACTTTTGTTAATGGTGGTGATGGAAAAAGAAAGTGAAAATCAGCTGCATGCTCACGTTCAACAGGATCAAACTAGCTGCCCTTCTAGCTCTCTTAACAAAATGCTTCAGACAAAAACAATTTATTTCAAACAAAATAACCAGGAAGGAAGATCTGCTCGAGTCCAGCCCCGGAGTGGTCCAGCTCCTCAGTGTTGCTGCAGCACTGAGGAGCTGGACCYTTGCTGGACCTCTGCGTTTCTCCTTATGAACAAACACAGCCATGAAATTCTAACCACTCACATGAGCCACAACCGTTGCATCGCAGAGTTCTGACTGGGGGCAATGCACATGACGGCTGTCACCGGGGGATAGCAGTGGGAGAGCAGATGGAAGTTGCACAGTTTTTTGTTACTCAGCAGGGGGAAACAAGACATGTGGCTTGAAATAGAAATCAGCCTTAAGTCTTTAAACTGACTGAAAAATACAGGATCTGAACAGGGACCACAGTGCTGAGCTTTAAAATAACATTGATAAACTGAAGTTCTCTACCATTTCATTTAACTGTTTTTACAGAGATATAGACTCTTAAATTTAGAAATATTAGCTGAAATATTGTTATTAACTTTGCTCTGAGGCCCGTTCCAGTTCAGATGCTGTTAGCAACCAGTACAAAAAAAATCTACAAAATCTTTTTGAGAATAGTTCTCCTGATCTTGTAACTAAAGGCCCTGTCCCACTAGACAACTTATGCCAACTTATGAACATTTTAAAGACATCTACATTGAAGATGAAATTGAAAGAATCATCAGGAAGCTTCTTTTTGGCATGTACATAATGCAATTCGAACAAATTGATCCAATATATAACTTTTATTGGCAATTTGGACATTAAAAATGATTCATAAGTTGGCATAAGTTGTATAATGTGACAGGGCATTAAGTGTGACTATGACAGACTTACAGCTGCAACTTTTTTTAATTTATGTATCAAATTTCAGATTAAAACCCATTTATGTGCATGTAGAAGTATTTACTGAACATTTAAACCATACATTTAATGCAATAAATGATGCAGAAACAACACATAAAATGTTAAATAAGAAAAAAATGTACTGTTTGCATACTGTTTTAAAATAAGACTCTTATTTTATATGATTTTTTTAAAAGAAGGTGATTTTTTTGTTTTGGTTCATTTTAGTTGTTGGTTCAGTGTTTTTGTTTTGCATTATGTTTTGTCTTGATGTATTTATTTGATTTTTGTTTATTTTTGATTATTTTTTAATTTTAGTTTTTTTGATCACATGGTTGCACCTTGCTTGTAGAGCTCAGGCCTCACTTCAGTCTGGCCTCAGAAAGCGACCCYGCTGATCAGGAGGACCTCGACGATGACGCCGAACCTGGCAGAAACTCCACCCACCAAAGCCGAGCGGCCGCTGTTGCCGCTCACGATGACACCGTGGCCACATCAGGYGTCAGCACGCTGAGCTCCACTGTGTCCCATGAATCCCACAATGCACAGCATTCTGTCAGCATGGAGCTGGGCAGGATGAAGCTGGAAACCAACAGGTGGGCATTCTGAATCTGTTCAATCATCAGTTGTTTCTTTCTTTTCAGTCCTTCATGGGTTGTTCCCCTCTGTGTGACTCCAGGCTGCTGGAGGAGCTTCTGCAGAAGGAGAGAGAATATCAGGCCATCCTGCAACAAGTCCTGGAGGAAAGAGAGCGAGAGATCAGATTGCTGAAGATACGATCTGAGCCAGCAGGTCTACACACTTTTTAAAAAACATCTTTTCTCACTCTGTTTGTAAAAACCTGCTGCACCCTTCAGTTTAGCTCCGATTAAATGATTAGATCAAGTTGATTTTGATMTGTGGAAAACATTAGAACAGGAGAATGCTCAGCTGAAGCTTCACATGAGCTGAGGCTTGAAAACTGCCTGTTGAAAACATTTTCCTTTTTATGTTCTGAATGTGCACATTAAATCATTTTTTCTGCATTTTACAGGTTCAGCTAAATGTTGAACACTGTGTGCATCCTGCCTTGTTTATCTGATGTCAGTTTTGTTTTGAAAGATCAATGATTTGTTTTCTATAAAGACAGATTGTAGATTTCTGCTGCCATGTTCAGTTTTTGTGTAGGAATGTGAAACAATAGCAAAATTTGTAAAAAATAATGCATTAAACAGTTGGATAGATAAGTTTTGCTACCATATATCTGTACATTTGACACATGCTAAATTAATAACTGAAATCAAAGATGAACTGAGAATGATTATTCTGTGACCAGTGTTAAAACCCTCATCATCTCTGTCTGATACAGATTTTTATTTTCTGTAAAAACAAGAGCTGGAAAACAAAAAGAAGGCAGATGCAAGCTTCACCATAAAATATTCATCTAAAATTTTCAGAAAACTTTGAATTTTGTTTCTAAATTTAAGATTTGTGACCAATTTGATCTTTAGGACGTTCTTTTAGGTGCCTACTGTTGATAAAAACTGATATATTCATTGATACTTATATTTATTATATTATTAGTTGAAAATCTCCTCATTATATTTTACATTTCAGTAACTCTCCATGTGGTTGTCACCCCTTGATAATTAAAGCTTTATTAATTTTCTGGTGTAAATTTGACTACCTTGTTTTTAGAGCCACTTGCTGTTGGATTTTAGGAACCGCAGTTCATTTTATTCAGCCTCTTGGTTTTACCTCTGTGTGCAGAATAAACAGTTTGTAATCATCTGTTGTAAATGAGTCTCCTCGTATGTTTTCATGTAGAAAATCCTTTGACATCAGAGTCCCTGAAGGAGCAGAGGAGTCAGGCTGCAGACAGGCATGAAGACCCAGAGCTGAGCAGCTGGCTGAGGCTTTACGGTGCCGACCAGGACTCCATAGACAGGGTGGGTACTGTGTTTGTATTCGATCAAAGTAGTTTATTTTATGCTTCAAGTGTTTCAGCATCAATTCCTGTCACTGTTTTCTCTAGATATTGAATGAGGAGTACACATTGAATGACATTCTCCATTATGTGACAAGAGATGATCTGAAGAGTTTAAGACTGAGGTAGTTAAAATATACTTTATTTTAAATATATGCATAAGTTTCACTACCCTATTCAGTTTTAAGTGATAGAAATACACAATAGTGTATCTGCTGCTCTCTTCAAAAATGCAGAAGTGCAGCTTCAACAGCTGCCTGTTGCATAAACTCTTTTTTAAATTTCCTGTTGTTTGTGAAGGGCAGCTCTACACAGCTACTACCACAACAGATTACATATTAATTATTGATGGGACGGGATGGAAAAAAAATTAAATTACTGGGGTTGGGATTTTAGAAAAGTACATGTCCTTAGGTATGTCTTGACATATTAGTTAAATACATTAAATGGTTGTTTTTTGTTTTATTGATCATTTAATGATCAGATGGGGGAGATATTATGGAAATAATACTTTTAGGTTTAAGCCAGTAATTRATGACATACTTTAATGYCCTAGGTTTTCACGATGTGCTGTTTATCAGTACATAGAATGATTAAAGTCAGAACAAGACCTGCTAACAACAATCATTCTTAGATATCARTTGTGTTTATCTTTGTGTTTTCCATTGACCCAGCATTTCCTTAGGATGAAATCTTGCTTTATTAAGATGACATAATGGTGTGGTATTTCCKTAACAACCTCTGTAAATGTCTGTAGTGTCAAGTGATTTGGGACATTGGGCTTGATAAAGTGCTATATACTGTAAATTCAGCCCGTTTAGCATTTGCATTTATTCACAGAAAGTATTAATTGGCTCAGTGCTGTTGGTGTAATTAGTAAAGTTATTGTAAACATGTAAATGTCTTTGACTAATATTATTTTTATTTAAAGTGATTTCTGTCCATTTCAACTGCTATGGCTTCCTCAAACCATACAAGTCAATCCCACCAATGGTGGTTTACCCAAACTCTGCCCGCACCCTAGAAAAATCCCACTTAGTTACTGATGCTCCCCCCCCCACTTTTTATTTTTTCTGTTTAATCTAATCTTGTCTTTCCTCTGCTAAACTTGTCAGAGGCGGGGTCTTGTGTAAACTGTGGAAGGCCATCATGGACCACCGGCAGAAGCCGACCTGAAGCCCAAAGTGGAACCAGAATCTGTCCGTGCTCCGTTTTACCTCAGTATTTATAGGAACAAGACTTTCCAGAGGAAGACAGCTGTGCTAACTGTGAGCTCAGGGCAGCTCTCCAGCCTCACCAGGATTCCCAGGAGAATTTTATAATCTCAAAACTGATCACAAAGAAGTGCCACTAGTTTTGTTATGCCTGTTGGATACAAGAGTTTTTGTTACAGATGTTCAAAAATATATTTGATTGTAAAAACAAAAACTATTAGACATTTTGAAATTGTCAGAAACATTTACAAGATGTTTACAAAAAATGACTGTCCATTTTCTAATAAGCCTGAGATACAAAAGACTACAATCAACATTATCTGTACTTGTGTTTTTATTTCATCACTACCTTATTTAAATGCATTTTATCAAATTTTTTATTTTGATTTGAAGCATGGCTGCGCAATACAGTTTTTCATTGTATGTGGTTTTATTTTTACACATTTTCATTAGACATTTTGACATTTTATTGCCAGGAATATTTTTTCATGTAAATATTGCTACAAAATTCCATGTGAATTACCAGTTTATGTACTGTATAGAKTGCTTTGGTAAACAGAGGAATGTCTTTACATAAAATGGAACAAGTTTATATGAAATAAATGGAGAACATTTATAAATATATAGCTATAGTTGTATGTTSTAGTCTTACAAATCATAAAAGAAGATATTTAGTGATTAATTTTACATCAGATCATTTGCTATTGTTGTACAGTGACCAAAAAAATATTTATCCTGCTTGTGAATCTTTATCATGATAAATGTTGTGAAAAAATCTAAATGCAAACACATTTCTCATGGATGAGCCTGTTTTTATCCATTTTCTCAGAAATGGGTCTCATAATCATGAGGTTCCTTTGGAAATATTTTGTGCCATTGTTTGAATAAAAATGTTCTTGTTGAAACAGTGAATTAATTGTGAAAAATATTTCCTTTTACGTACATAATCACTAAATGAAAAGTCTGTGTTATTTGAAGATAAAACACTGACATATTTAGGCTGTTTGAAAAACACAATATTGGAGCTATGGTATCCCCTTCTGGTAAAAATCTACCATTGTTTTTTGCTGTATAAATTGTGAGTCAGTGTGTAATACTTCAATCATATGTTCAGCTAATTTAATAATTTATAAATCAAAATGTTTAGTCCCTTAGGGGTGCTATAGCTTTTTAAAATATTTGATCAAAACAGCAAAATACTAGATAAAAAAGCAAAATACTACTGAAAAACAGCAAAATATTAGATAAAAAATTATATGGGACACTTCTCGTCAACTAATTAACTTGACAGTTGCCCTTCCCACGTTTGACAGCTAATGACCAGAAGTCCCTAAACTTTTGACAGCAGATGACCAGAAGTCCAGCCTCTTTTTAACACCAGATAACCGGAAGTCATGCCCCTTTGACCATATATGGGCATAATCCCCGCCCTTTAAGGGCAGGGTTACTGCCCCCCTAAAAAATAAATAAAAAATGTTATTTACAAAAGATATAGGGATGCTGAGTATGTATTTGTGTATGTATACATTTATGTGTGTATGCATAAACATGAATATATTCTGGTATTATTTAAGATTATACATCAACTGATTGTTGTTTTAATCTTTATGATATTGTAACTGCCTTCTCTATGATTAAATAGTTTCTGAATATTACTTGGTAACACATTCTTGTTGGCTTTAACTAGTAGTCGTGCAGTATGGAAATCAACTAAATCTAACATTTTTAATGGTTTGTAGAAATAAATTATTTGTATGTTGAAAATATCCTACATTGTGTATTATTCTTACAGCATGTTTCTGAAGTATAATGAACTTATTGAACTTTTGTAGTTATTACCCCCAGTTTCTATGCAATATGATAAAAATGGCAAAAACAAAGGACAGTATGGTAAATGTAGAGCATTATATTCTAAAAAACATTTAGCTTTGTTAATAAT